CAGAACACCGTGCCCGATCAAACGACCTTAAGGTGCGTCATGGACAATTAAGGGAAGGTCAAGTTGTGTATCAGAGAGCCCATAACATAAAAGGCAGGAATAAGATCCAGGATGCCTGGGATCCAACCCCCTATAAAGTGGTCCGGTGTCCCGACGGAAATGGAGCTGTGTATGCTATTGCCCCGGCAGATGGAGGTGGTAATATTAGACACATTCATCGTTGTGAGTTGCGTCCTGCTTATACTCCCTCAAACGATCCTGGACTTCTAGATCTATTTGACCATCAGGACATTTTAAGAGACGAAGGCATGGTAGTTTTGTCTCTAATCCCTGAGGATGTATCTGCCCAGGACCAAGTTAATACGTCTCCACCTTTACAGGAAGAAAATACCAACTTCTGCACTTCAGTAAATCATGCGGAGAACCATCAGCCTCAACAACAGGAGGAAGCTGTAGTAAGGCGTACAAGGAGGACAACAGCTGGATGTCATCCTAACCCATATCGTCTACCTCGGTCAGCCCCTACTACCAAAGTCCAAATTAATGACCAGGTTGCTCTCCCTATGATGCGGCTGTCCAGCAATGGTTTGAACGTAATGTTTCGCCCCTGGTTGTAGTATTGACGTAATCGACGGGACGTCGATTTTTTTAATCTGGGGGGTAGATTGTAATGGGACAAGGTTGGGGAACTACAAGTCCCATCAGCCCCAGCGCTATATAAGGAAGTAGTGAGGTTTGTTTGTCCTCTCACTTCCTTTCCGTGATCGTGTGTTGTGGATGTCGTGTATGTTGTGGAGGCGGCACAATTAAAGCTTCAAAGGTTAGTAAGTAGAGAGATTAGTTTGCTCTTATTTTCTTTTTGCAGCGATTGAGTTGTGTGCATGTCACGACAGATTGAGCCCTTCAGAAGGATAGTAGCAGATAAGCAGCTATGTTAACGTCATGGAGAGCTGAGTACTTGTTGCACACCATTTAGGAGGTAGTAGTTTTATTATTTTATCTAATTGTTTTTAGGATTTTGTTTTAATCATTTTATTGTTCTTTGGTTTTTAGTGTTTTTGCCGGATTATTGCCTGACTGATTGTTGCCTGAGTGCCAGTCAGAAATATCGGATGTTTGAGGTATTGTTTTATTAAAGGGAACTTTTAATAATGTTTTTCCATCTGTGCATAATTTATATTGGGTTTTATTTTGTGTTTTTTTGTACATTGTATATAATTCCCTGTTGTAATTAATTGTGTTTTCCCTTACAGGGATGCACGGTTACCGTTTACTTTGATTGAATTTTCTTTGGTTTATTTATTATTTTGTCTTATGTTGGACCAAGTGGGAAAAACCCCAGACCATAAACTAAGTGTGATGGTTCAATGGTGCTGCTGACTTGTTGGTCCTACTGGCATTACCCACGGTTAATCTGTTTTTCTTTCCTTTTTGTAGATTTCTTTTTTCCCAACGATGGCTGCGTGGTTACCCTCACTGTATGGATGGCGGTGGTGAGGTGGCTGGGATCGTGTGGTGTTGGTCACTTTATTTGTATTTTTGCCTTTAGGGATGCAGTGTGATTGCTGTGAGTTTTGCTGTGGTGAGAGCACTTTTCAGGACTACTGCCTTCACGATATAGGTAACCTGTGGCCATCTGTGGGTTGTTGTTTTTGTTTCTTATTTTTTTTATTTGTTATTTTGTGGGTATTTGCTTTTAAGGACTTATTTTCTTTAACTGCTGAATTATTTGAATAAAAATGTGCCTATTGATGGAAACTGCACAACCGCCTTGCGCCTGATTATTTACCCCTTGGGTCATGTTACACTAAGATAGGAAATTCTTAGATCTTCTTTTGGTTTGCTGCATATTCCATGGATAGCTTGATCAAGCAGCTGAGGTACTGTGTAGGCCACTTAGTTCTGGCTTAAATGTTGAAATGTGAAAACGTGTTATGTTGAAAACAAATTGTTGTTGAAACCCTGTTATATGTAAAAAGTGTTTTGAAAAACCCTCTAAGGAATTCAGCTTCAGAGACCTGACACAGAGTTCAGAAACAGTGTAATATGCCAACACTAAAACTTATATTGGACATTCTTGGGGGAGATCTTCTTTTGGTATGCTGCATATTCCATGGATAGCTTGATCAAGCAGCTGAAGTAGTGAGTAGGCCTCTTAGTTCTGGCCTAAATGTAGAAATGTGAAAACGTGTTACATGTTCAAAACAAATTGTTGTTGAAACCCTGTTATATGTAAAAAGTGTTGAAAACCTGTTACGTGTAAAGGAAAATATAATCCTTAGAGGGTTAGTTCACCCAAAAATGTCAATTCAGTCAGTAATTACTCACCCTCATGTTGTTTCAATCCCGTAAGACTTGTTCATCTTCAGAACACAAATGAAGATATTTTTAGATTTCATAAAAAATATACCAGATTTCATAAAAAATTTACCAGATTTCATTAAAAAAAAATATCTTGATTTGTGTTCCGACGGTGAACAAAGTCTTACGGGGTTGAAACAACATGAGGGTGAGTAATTACTGACAGAGATTTCATTTTTGGGTGAACTATCCTTTTAAGGTTACTTCTCTTTTGTGTTTCAATTTTACATTTTTATTTATATATAAAAAACCATGTTCTCCAAGAACAAAGTTTATTTGTTCTAACAAATATTTAGGAAGATTGGTACCAATTACATTTGTGTTTCAAGTTAAAAATGTTTGATGGTAAAATTTGGACACTTTAAAATTTTAAAACTTTAAAACAGGTTTAATACTAAAAGAGTAACAAGTAATAACGACAGAAAGTATATAGTCTGACTTTGGTAGGATGTATAAAACTAAAACATTCAATTGTAAAGTTTTATTATGCCTATATTATGCTATATCCTGCTTGGATGTTTTTGTTTCTTTTGTCAGAATGGAGCAATTGCAAAAAATAAATATTTGAAAATGTAAGATGTTTTTGACCATTCATTCAATAGATTTAGGGAAATGTAAGATAGTTATATAGTTATATAAAGCAAGTAACTACAATTCATTTGAAATGAGTAAAGTTTATTTAACACACAATCTTAAATCAGAGTTCATCAATTCACATAACAATTATTTAATTCATTCACGTCAACTGAACATGATGGTGAAGCTTAAATACAATGTTAACTTAAACATTGGATTTATGTGATCAAATTGGATGGAAAATTGACATGTAATTGAAATACATAAGTTTTAACTTTTGGGGTTAAATATTTTTTTGAGTGTGCATTCCAACTCATGCTTTTGAAACTCCATAAGATAATACAACTGATTATGAAAATTAATAAAGAATAATAATACAAATACATAATATTTAATAATGAAATAATATTAAAGATGAAATTTTAGTCTTCATCTCCCTCCACTGGAACTACGGCCGTAAGTTCCACACCATCATTCCCAGGTGGCCAACCTATAGAAGTGATAGTGAGGAGAAGAAATAGCAGACCAAGAAAATAGACAGAAAGGACAGAAGAATGAAAACAGAAAAACAAAAACAAAACAAAAAACAAAGAACAAAACCCCAACCCGTGTTATGTCCTCGTATACTATGTGTATTTTAATATCCATGTGTATGTATTTAAAATGAACCCCAATCATCTAAGAAAAGAAAAACTAATAAGTCTTATGCTCGTGCCTAAACTCATTAATTAATTAACTAATTAAATCCTCCAGTTCCGAGCTAAAAAAAAAAAAAAAAAAAAAAAAACATTGATGTTAAAGGATCCTATCCCTTGGGGTTGAAATCAGTAAGTGGGTGTTCATTGTTTGTGAGGTAGTGTTTTTGTAAGGAATACATAATAACTTGCAACCATCTCTAATCAATGTCAATGGAATTGATTCCTGAAATGTAAGCAGAAAAATCATTAAACATCACTTCTTTGTTCCCAATCTTTAAAACTAATGGATGAACATTGCTCAATCTCATCATTCTGTTCATTCACTAAGCAAGGTTTAACATGTGTAGAGAATCGAGGCGAATCAAACACAACTTAATCAAATGAATCTCTCATGGGATTAATTCACATGGCTTCAACACTCCAAGTTCTGGAGCCCACATTCCAGAGTCACGGAACGACTCCGTGCTGTCTGCAGATAAGGACTTTTATTGCCCACAGGCCCAAGAGATGGGCACTAAACAGGACGAACGTGTCAATATGGTAATGTTACTAAGACAAATCGGCTCCAAAATGGTGGAACGAGAGGCTCACAACCAAGACCCCTTTGATCCCCTGACAGAGATGTTCCACAGAACACATCTCCTCGTCCCCCTTACGAGTTGAACTCGCAGTAACCTTGCGGTTGAGATCGGAGATCTCACACATAAAATCATATAAACTCACCACAGAACAATTCTTGGACCTATAACCAATCATAATTGTTGTTGTTCCTACACTTCATGTGTTATTATGCTTAGATCACATAATAACCATGTAATTGTTGTTAACTATTAACTCTTGTAATTGTTATACAACCATTAGAAGTGTGAATGCCTCGTTTGCTCTTAAACGAACCGTATTCTCGTAATTCAAAAGATGGCTTGATTGAAATCTGCGTAAAAGGTTTTGTTTTATGATTATAATTATCATAAGGTTAAAACGATGGTATTTTGTCTCTGCTAAGTGCTGGAGACCAGCTCACAGACCATGCATAAATTATGATAAAGCAAGAAGTAGATCCACCTCCTGAGATCATGCCATTACCCATTGGCCAGAAGTTTCTAGGAGGTTGGACCAGAGTTTAAGTTAAAGATCCGAACAAAGGACCTCATGTTCAGAAGATTTCAGATGATTTTTGTTTAGATTTTTGTCAGATTTTTGTTCAGTTCGTTCAAGTCTGTAACTGTTAAGTCCGTGCCTCTCTCTAAAACCAGCAAGAGAGTGTTCTGTTCGTGCTTATCTCTGAAACAAAGAACGTGTTCGCATGCTTCTACATCGACTAGACCAAATTCGACCCGCAGACGAATAACCCATCAAGATCAGGGTTACAATTCAGCTCAGTCAAGCCATCCGACTCGTCTTACTTTCATTTCTTTCCTTTATTTCCTTTTTCGTAAAAGTCTCGTTTCAAAGTTAAGTTTGCAACGCGCTTCGAATTGGAAAAGACTCTCATTCGCTTGCTAATCACACGTGACCAGCGGCGGAACTTCCATCCCTGCACTTCAAAGACAACCCGCCACGAGGACCCGGGAAACCCCCCTTCGACGCGACGCAGACAAAGGGAATTCCCTCAGCCACTACAAAGCGCAAGTACTCCAGGCTCTAACTGAACTGGTGCTTCAATGTTAATTGAATAACCTCTCTAAGAAACGAAGGTTCAAATTAATGCTTGGTGGTCCTTTCAGGTGATGTCTTACGTGCATATAGAAAGTTAAAACTTTCTCTCACTCTTTCCCTTTCGCGACTGTATGAATGTGTGTGTGTGCGTGATTATGTTTAGTTGTGTTTAGAATAGCTAATAAAGTCTTGTCCATATATTTGAAAAGATAAATCTTCTTGTGTCGTGTTTGCACATTTAATGTCTTGTACTGTTCGATCTAAAGTTACCTTGCTAAGAAAGACATAGTGTTTCACTATAGATTTTGTTATAATTACGGCCCGTTCAAATGAATTCTAAGCGAGTCATTTGCTCGGTTCAGTGATTCGGTTCCATAGATTCATTGCAAATCAATGAATCATTTCCCTTTTAGCTAAATTGGCCTTCGGCCCCCTTAAATACATTTTATGTATATTATTAAATGTTGCATTTGCTACACATGTGACCAATGATACCATCTATCTGTTCCTACACCCTTCTCTTTGAGACAAACACTTGTATCTGTTGTTAAGAGTATCTCATAAGGTCCTTCCCATCTAGGCTCTAAACCCTTTCTAGCAATTCGTTTGATCATAACGAAACTGCCTAGCTCGGGAATGTGTGGAATGTCAGTAGTGGTGTGTTTTTCATCCCATTGCTGTTGAGCTTCTCGCACTTTCTTATTGTTGTACATGATTACAAGTATGTATCGATACCCTCCACTAGGTGATAAAGGTCCTGTGAAATCAATTTGGAGATGTGTCCATGGACCTGTTGGTCTGGATGCATGTGACATTCGCACCTTTACAGATTTTCCCACATTTGCTTTGAGGCATATCAAACATCTCCTACAATAATCATCAATGTCTCTCATCATTCGTGGCCACCACCAAGTTTCACTGATTTGAGCTTTCATTGTTTTTGCTCCAGCATGCACTTTTCCATGATACAGCTGCATTAGTTCTCTTCTTGTACCAATAGACATCACTACTTGTCCTGTTGGAATTCTCCAGATACCTTGATCATCCTCTTTCGCTCCCTCTTTTATCCATTGTTTTTTCTCTTCATCTGTCTTTAACTGATATGACAGAAGATGGAGCTCAGGATTATCCTTGGTATTTTCCTTTACCAGGGTAAAAGGAGTAAGATGGAGTAGAGCTGCTTCTCTAGCTGCTGCATCTGCTGCCGTGTTTCCTTGAGTTTCTTTGGACTTGTCAGATTGATGTGATTTTACTTTGATCACTGCTGCTTCTCTGGGTAAGTGACATACTGTAATTAAGCGACGAATTATGGAAGCATGTTGTATTTCGCTCCCACTGCTGGTGATGAGTCCACGTCTCTTCCACGGGGCAAGGTAGTCATGGACCACACCAAAAGCATATCGACTATCTGTATAGATGTTGACTCGTTCTCCTTCAGATAATTCAAAAGCTTCTGTAAGTGCTACAAGCTCGGCTACTTGTGGTGAAAATTTGCCAGGAAGAGGTCCTTTCTTCACAACAGTTCCATCAGCTTCCACTACAGCCCATCCAGTGTGTCGTTTTTCCATCTACATAATAACTGGATCCATCGACCCATAACTCTTTGTCTGGATTTTCAAGAGGGATTGGATTAACAGGACCAAGACTATCTTCTTCTACTTGTTTTACCTACTCATGTGGTATTCCCTCATGTGGTTCCAGCATCATTGTTGCAGGGTAAAGAGAAGTGTCCCTGATGATTTCCACTCTCAAATCCTTGTTCAACAAAGTTGCTTCCCATTTTGCTCTTCTTGCGTCAGTTATGGTTTTGATGTTTGTGTTGTTCAGCAGTGTCACTATACTGTGTGGAGTGTGCAATATGATAGTTTGTGCTCCTATCAAATTCTCAACAGCATCCACTGCCCATGCACCATCGAGGGCTTGTATACATCGTGGTTGCCCAATAATAGTGACAGGAATCTTTGTGGAAAAGTATCCAACTGGTCTGTATCGATCACCTGGTTTTTGACACAGTACTGCTGAATACGTCTCATCTCCTACACTGGTTATACTGCTCTCCTTGTGCGTTTCCATATGTGTGAACACAATTCAGCAGCAAGCCAAAAGCAAGCCCTTTAAATAAAGACTGGAGTCAGGGTGTAGTTTTCCAAAAAACTCCTGATGTTTACTCCAATATGATTCAAAGGAGAGTGAAACTATCAAAAACAATACACAAATAATGTGCTTTTAGTAAACAAAATAAAAAATATATACACAATATTAGGGTTAACAGAGCAGAGTTACCGGTTGAGCAATTGGTGTATAAAACAACACTTAATTATTATTAATATAGCATAGAAAATGTATAAAATATTCTCAATTTACACATTTAACATTGATTACTTACTGTCAATGCTTTCGAAGGCATAAACATTAAAGAAAACTGGAGAAGCAGTCACATGGAGCTTAATGCTTGAGAGAGTTGAGCGAAACTGAAACTAAAATGGCTGCTCCCTGCTCAGTCAGGGAATTTTTCAAAATTAGAGTCCCAAGTAAAAAACCTAAAACGCTTAATCAATTAACATAACACTCCCCGCATGACATCTATAAAGTGCCATAGGCCATTCATTTCGGGCTACTTGATTGTCCTTAAGTAGTACTGTGTCGCCCTCCTGGATGTTTGGGTATGGATCCTTCCATTTCTGACGAACTTGCAATGTTTGCAGATATTCCTGTTTCCAGCGACACCAGAATTGGTTGGCTAGGCTCTGTACTTGCCACTGCATGAAAAGTGGGATTTTCGTCAGTAAGCGGCACTGTAGATTGTCGTGGAAGTTCAGGTTTACGACTGCACACGGCAATTTACAGGTAACACTCAAAACTGCTGTGAATTGCCGGAAATTGACGTGGGCCTTGCTTGGCTGTTGTCCCCCCATTGTCCCCCCTTCTCCTAAATCTAGAGGAGGCTTTGACATGTAAATGAAAATGCTGTGAGCTATACACATGCAAATAAGGGTAGGGGAGTTTCACCCCAGGTAACATTTTTCTGAAAGGTATAACTTCATTCTAAGACAAGATCAGGCTCAGTATAACCTAATTGCTGTGTTTTTTTTGTTTTTTGTTTTTTTAACATTGCACATAATGCACAACAATTACAACAATAACATGACATCCAAAAAGATAACAATCAACAAATAATAATTTCACAATAAATAAGAAACAAATAAAAATAGGACAGAATTGAACAAATGAAATAAAAACAGGAAAGGGACTATCTCTATTGTGTTTAATATTATGATTTAAGAGAAAGTTAGAAACCAGTAATTTGTACTATTTAAAGAAAGAAAATTAGCTTCAATTAGCTTCAATATTCTTTAGCAAATACAATTGTATCACTACATTTTTATCGATACATTTGAGAGACAGAATATACTGAAAACTAAAAATTAGACCAAAAAAAAAAAAAAACTTCAAACAAGGTTTAGAATTATTCATTTTACTCTTATAAATATGAAATTTTCCTAATAAAATTATAAGATTCATCATAACATTTACGGAAGCAGTTTTCAAAATATATGATAACATCTTTGATGTTAATTCACAGTTATAAACAGATGTTTTTTGTTTTTGTTTTTTACAATTTTTTTGACTGGTTTATTTAATTTAAGTAACCTAATAAAGTTATTTATTTATGCATATATGTATTTTTACATTTCATGGTAGCCTATTTAGGTATATCCACCTTATTCCTAATTTAAAATGAACTAACAGCAGCAGAAAAGTCAAAGGACAGCCGACGACAGCCTTTCAACCTGAGTCAAAAACCAGTGAACGTAACTCTGATTGGCTGAGGCAGCATATCGTCATAATCCAACCTGTAACGTCAGCCACTCTGATTGGCTGAGGCAACGTGCCAGGCATGTGGCGTGTTTTTTTAAGCAGAAAGTAACTACACAGATATTCAGCCTGCTTCGCCGTCATGATCGCTGGGGAACCCATCTTTTCCTCTAAATTGAAGGTAAGTTCGTCCAGCTTAGTGAATTCTATGTCCATGTCTACTTATAGTTTTTGGTAGTTTAGCGTTTTTGTCTTAAACTTCACAAATCGGCTGTGATTACTGCCGCGAATGTCCAAGGGTGTTAACCTAACGGAACAGTTTTTTGTTTTGCGTTAGCTTGCTGCTCTTAATTCTTTTTTTGTTTCATTTCAATTTGAACAAATTTGGGACACTAAACTGTACGTTGGGTTGCACGTTGTTATCTGGCTGCAAGTTAGCTACCATTCTTTGATAGTAATCAAACTAACTCATTTACTCTGAATATCGTCAGAAATTATGAAAAAATAATAAGTGCCAGGGTCCTAAAACAAAGCGCGTAATGTGCTTGTATGCTCTAGTGTAGGCTATCCTTGTTTGTAAAATTGCATCACTTTGTGTGATGAGTGAAATCTTCAGATGTTTGTGATTTGTTTTGTCTCTCAGGGGCTGTTAGGAGTGAGGTGTCCTTCGCTGATGGGAGAAAAAACACCTAAATAAGGTAACGTTACGTGTTGTGATCTCATCCTCTTTTCTTTTGAACAGACCCCAGTCAAATAAAAAGTAAAACTAAACTAATTTGGATTAACGTCTGTGTTTATAGATGACTTTGAGCGTGAGACAGTGGTGAAAACGCCAAAGAGAACTGGAACATGGCATGTTATATTCAGTTATAAATGTTTGACCAAGTTTTTAAATATCTTATAAATCTGTTCAGTTTCATCATTTGATAATAACTTTTAAAACACATTTTTTTGTGGTATAGATGCAGTGACTGAGACTGGGAGATGCAGTGACTGAAACCTGGTGGTAAGTGTTGATCTATTGGCAGTGGAGAAGACACTTTTAATAGACACCTTCTCTCTTGTGAGCTAGCAAACTTTGTTATTCTAATTAGAGCATTGTAAACATCACCAAATGTGTTCGTTTATTTCAGTGTTCCAGAAAAAGGTCCTGAAACTACTGGTCGACATCCGCCATCGCCTGAAGGAAACCAGGTAGTGGATGCAGAAGAAACATATTTTTGCTTACAAATGTGGGGACTTGGGGCAGATTGCCTTTGCATACATCTAAATCATTTGTCTTTTTCAACTTTGCAGAAGGGGTCATGAAATTCGGTTCCACAGCCACTGAGGTGTATGTACATCAAGGTGAACCTCAAGCACGCGTCGCAAAGACTTAAATTCACTTCGCCCTGATGAGCCAAGCCTACAGGACTTGAATTAAGAGTTTTAAAGGGATAGTTCACTTTGAAATTATTTTTTGAAATGTTTTGGCTTACGTCAAGGGCATCAGTCAGTCATATAATGGAAGTCTATGGGGATCTCTTAAAAGAGCATGCACAGAGAAGTACAAATTAAACATGATTTAATGAATCATAACTGTAAGTACACCTTGATGGCTTAAGATACGAGACGAGCGGTTTGTGTGAGAAAATGAACAGTGTGTGTGTGTGTATATATATATATGATCTGCGCATGCGGTGGAAACCGCCAGAAGCGATCTTGCACTGGTACGTCACTCATTGTTTACACAGATTTCGGAAGTTTTACTGTGAAGATCTAAACATATTAAGATGTATTGCATTTTGTGTATATCTAAATATATATATATATATATATATATATATATATATATATATACACACACACACACACACACACACACATTTATACAATATAAATACTGTTTGTTTTCTTTCCCAAAACGCTCATTTCGTGTCTTAGTCAATCATTGTGTACTTAATTTATGAGTCATTAAATCATGTTTAATTTGGTCTTCTTTGTGCATGCTCTTTGAGGTGGTGACCATAGACCTGCATTATATGACTGACAGACAACAACAGTTTGACCTAAAAATATCAAAATTGAAAATACTGTGGAAACAAAACCACCTGCATCTTGGATGCCCTTGAGATAAGATAAAACATATCAAAAATTTATTTCAAAGTGAACCATACCTTTAAATTACATCCTTATTATTCGTTCATAATTCTGGCTCCACTGTACATTGTGTTTGATATATCTGGTGCCCAATTCTGATGCCATTCAGGGCAATTTATTTTTGAATAGAGATGCAATATATTATTGATTTATTTGTATAACTGTAGTGCTGTATGTATGTATGTTGTCCCATGTTTCCAGAGGGTGGAGGACATGTTTTCTGTGCTTTGAAAGATGTTCTCCTATGCTGTGTACATAGTTTTGTGTTTGTTCTAATAAAGCTATTTCTTTGAATAAACAGTATGTGGCAAATGTTCCTTTCCTCAATAAATTCATGTCCTTGATGGTAATAATAATTTAGTCCATAGGATAACAATGACATGAATAAACAACATAATAGCATATCATATGAATATATATATATATATGATTATTATTATTATAATTTTATGTCGGCTGACCAATAGTAACAGATCTGCCAACCAATCACGAGTGATTTTCTTGTTTAAATGTAGTGAATTTCAACCAATACTGAGTGAGGAAATTCAAGCCATTCTCTGGCAAGGCGCGCGCAGTGCTGCTATTCATATGCTAATTAGGGCCATTCGCACCTCCGCGAGCGCTGCATGCATACGTCATGGTTCGTTTCCGTCAATATGTGGCACAGTGGAACGCGACGTTCACAGTCTGTAAATTGTCGTTAACTGCCGAAAATTAGGGAGATTTCCGGCAGTTTACGGGGACGAAAATCCCACTTTTCATGCAGTGTGCCGCCATTGGCGTTTGTAGATGTCCTTTTCGGAGAAGTTTCCTGCTGGAGGTGGAGAACCTGCCTTTTGTGTTAGGAGCATTGCAGGGGTAAGTATCAAGGGTGAGTCTGTGTCCATAGAAACAGGTACTAGAGGTCTACTGTTAATAATGGCCGTCACTTCTGCCATAAGTGTACAAAGCACTTCATCAGAGAGGTTGGAGTGTCCTTCCCGCATCAGCATTGAGTCAAGAATTCTACGAGCCAGACCAATCATTCGCTCCCATACGCCTCCCATATGGGAGGAGTGTGGTGGGTTGAAAACCCATGTGCATCCTTCGTCATTGATGTATCTTTGCACCTTGGTTTCTTTAATCACTTTGTGGAATTCAAGCTCGTTGCAAGCGCCAATGAGATTAGTTCCACAGTCAGAATGTAGTTGTTTTGCAGGGCCACGGATCGCAAAAAAACTGTGAAGGGCATTGATACAACTCGAAGAGTCCATAGACATAATGACTTAAATCAACGTTTTCACAAAATAAATGGGCAGCTGTTTCTTCAACAATACTAGCACAAAATGAGCACGTTTCATTAATATCAAGATATTTATAGATAATTGAATTAAACGTGTCGTTCATATAGGTGTTGCGCTTATGATAACGCGTCGTAGGTCACATGATAACGTCAACATGGCAGATGTCCGGTTTGCATTCATACTCAACGAGATTTGGTTATAAAGTACCTACTCTTTTAGCGCTCGTTGAGCGCTTATTGAAATTAAAGTAC